GTTTCATCATCCAGTGATGAAGACCTCATCGTCCCAAATTTGGGAGCTTATAATGCGGCTGAAGGTGATCAAGAAGTAAACCAACCAGTAGGAAATGGTGCTCAGAATGAAAACCCCCACCAGGGCCCAAATCAGCCAGCTGCTGCAGTGGTATGCATTTCCATGTGTTTCATGAATATATGTATATCTATATACATATAATTTGAACAGTACTAGATATTGATTGGCAAATAATTTACATCACTAAGATTTGATTTCATTGTTTATATTTTTTTGCGTATGTATGTCTGTTCATTTTACAGAATGAACAAAATGTGATCCCTTCCGACCCTCGGCGTTATATAGGGTTGATTATTTGCAAGGAATGCAACGGAACTAAGTATATGGGAAAAGTTGTCGGGTACAACTATCAGAGAAAATGGTTCAGAGTAAGAAAGTTGTCACATGCGAAATGCTTTATCGCAACAATAATAAGCTGTTCATTTTCCTGCACTCTCACAGCTAATTAAGTCGTTGGCTGTTCATAATTCGATGCATGAAGGTTGAGTACGGGGAGGAAGAGTCTGAAGACATGGATGAGGAGTCCGTCCAAAGACTCAGGGCAAAGCAAAGCGACATCCTCGCTGCTCAGGCTCAGGCTCAGGCCTCAGGGTATGTGGGTGTGTATATAAAGTACGGCTTGATCTAAGTCCTCTCACTATTATTAGCAGAGCAGCAAATTAAACTTAGTAACAGAAGTAGATAATACTGTACAATCTCCCTGAGACAACAACTTCACAAGGAATTATATGCATTTCTGTCTCATTAATTAGCAGTTTAGTACTCTCCCGGTCGTTGATATAGAACTCAATTCTTGAATTGGTTTTGGTTCTAAATATAAGACCCATTTCTCATATTTATCAATTTTCTCTAAATTATCCCTATGGATACTCCCTCAATCATAATCAAGTAGAAGAAAGAGAGGGGTATTAAAAAAATGATTATAGTGTTTTAAGAAAAATGTCACTTTTCTTATAATGAACTAATTTACCTAACTTTCTTAATCTAATCAAATTAGTTAAATAGGTCTTATATTAAGGATCGGAAGAGTACTATACGTGTTCTGACATGGATTACTTGTTAGAATCAAGGTCTGCTGCATTAATTATATTAAAGAATATAGAAGAGGATCATGCGGGAGAGCTTACGAAACATTTTCACATGTAATTTGTTGAATGTGTATACACACACACACACTTTCAGTTCGGCGTCAACGAGGATGAAGCATGTGGGTGGTTCGAGGAAGAGGAGCGGGAAGGAGGAGGGTTATATCCCACTGGCCTTCAGGGAGACCAAGAAAGATGCCTATTATTACTATTAGCTGATTGGACCATGAAAGTGCTTCTGGGTTCGTATTGCATTGTGAACGTGTGCTTATGTGTGTTTATATGTGCATGATTTGCCTAATAATGGTGGTTATTTTCACTGGTTATGATCAGGTCCAGGCTGGGGAGATTTAGGAACCAGCAGAAAATTTACTTGGATTGTGAAATTGATATATATGCAGTCTCAAAGAAGCTGTTTATGTTTTGTTTGACTCCCTCAACTGATCAAAAATTCAAAATCATCGTTTTGCGTGTCGGAGTTTATTCCGTTTGGTCGTGTCGGCAGTCTTGATTAATGTATATCCTTTATTGGCTTTTATATCCCTGTTCTAGTTTAACTTGTTTCAAAAGAATTATACTGTCATCTGGTTATACTTCTAAGGGTTTGGGGATCGATGACGGAATTAAAACTAAAGATATCCGGCCAGATGGTGTCATTTCTGTTACTCCTGTACATGAAATGGCACCACATCAGATCATCTAAGATGGATGGACGTGCATGCGTACGCGCCTGAGGTTTCAGCGCGTCGTCAGTGAGTATGATCTACGCCACGCTACGTCATTGCCATTTGAGAAGACAGCATGGATTGTTGCCACTTACCCTGGCTATAGTTATAACGATGATAAGGTACTTCTAACCTAATTTTTATCATGGTTAAGCGAAGTTTTCAATTTTATATTATCTCTTAAAATTTAATAACTTTTTAATTTTATTTTTTAAAAAAATTATAACAACAGAATAATAAATTAGAAATAAAAATATACGTTCACATAATAAATTGGAAAAATTACAAATAAAGACCCCTCAATATATAAAATAGCAATCAGGGACCCTGAATTTGAAAAATTGCTCACAAAGACCCGGTCCCAATTTGCAATTATGAAATCATGGCCAAATTACCAAAATACCCCTCTTTAATTTTTTTTCAAAAAGGAACACCACTGCCTCGCCGGAATCCAGCCGCCAGAGCTCCGATGCCGGCGGCCGGATTCTGGCGGCCTTCCTTTTTTTTGTTTTTTGAAACTGTTTTTTTTTTTTTTAAATTGGGGGGAAGTGAGGTTGGGGGATTTGATCCCCCAACCTCATACTTCCCAAAATTAGGAATGACCATTGAGCAAACAAATTTTTGCTAACATTATAATACAAAAAAAATATAAGTTAACTCATTTACTCTTGTTCCAGGTGATAACAAGAATACATTTGAAAATAACAAGTTCTGATTATAAAATAACAAGTCTGGGATTAAAATTTAACAACACGTTTTTTTTTATAACAACACACTCTGTTTCAGGTGATAACAACAATACATTTGGAAATAACAAGTTCTGATTATAAAATAATAAGTATGGGATTAAAATTTAACAACACGTTTTTTTTTATAACAACACACTCTGTTGCAGGTGATAACAACAATACATTTGAAAATAACAAGTTCTGATTATAAAATAACAAGTCTGGGATTAAAATTTAACAACACGTTTTTTTTATAACAACACACTCTTTTTCAGGTGATAACAACAATACATTTGGAAATAACAGGTTCTGATTATAAAATAACAAGTCTGGAATTAAAATTTAAGAGCACCATTTTTTTTATATAACAACACATTTTATTCCAAGTGATAACAACAATACATTTGAAAATAACAAGTTCTGATTATAAAATAAGAAATCTAAAATTAAAATTTAACAACACATTTTTTATAACAATTAATTATTTTATACTTTTGAAAAATAAATTATTTATAACTTATAAAAAGTATTTTAAATCTATTTAATTTGCTAAAAAAATAATTTTTATCTCCAATTTATAATCAAAACTTGAAGTGTAATTTATTATAGATTAAAAATACTTTTTTATTGTTCAAATTTATAAATAAAATTTAGGAAAAATGACAACACACTTTTTTAATTTTTTTAAAAAAATTTTTAATCTATATATCTATACAACTCATTATAATATTTTTATATTATTTCATTCTTTAAATATTAAAATTTATTATTAAGTATTTAAATATTATAGTATAATTTATTATTTCATTCTTTAAATATTAAAAATAGTTTTTATATTTAAAGAAAAAAATAGTATTTTTAATTATAAATTAGAGATAAATTTCATTTATAAATTTAAGCAATCAAAAAGTATTTTTAATCTACAATAAATTGTACTATTTATAATTTATAAGAAGTAGTTTGATTTATAATGAGTTGTATAGATATATAGATTAAAAATTTTTTTAAAAAAAATAAAAAAGTGTGTTGTCATTTTCCCTAAATTTTATTTATAAATTTGAACAATAAAAAAGTATTTTTAATCTATAATAAATTACACTTCAAGTTTTGATTATAAATTGGAGATAAAAATTATTTTTTTAGCAAATTAAATAGATTTAAAATACTTTTTATAAGTCATAAATAATTTATTTTTCAAAAGTATAAAATAATTAATTGTTATAAAAAAATGTGTTGTTAAATTTTAATTTTAGATTTCTTATTTTATAATCAGAACTTGTTATTTTCAAATGTATTGTTGTTATCACTTGGAATAAAATGTGTTGTTATATAACAAAAAAGGTGCTCTTAAATTTTAATTCCAGACTTGTTATTTTATAATCAGAACCTGTTATTTCCAAATGTATTGTTGTTATCACCTGAAAAAGAGTGTGTTGTTATAAAAAAAAACGTGTTGTTAAATTTTAATCCCAGACTTGTTATTTTATAATCAGAACTTGTTATTTTCAAATGTATTGTTGTTATCACCTGCAACAGAGTGTGTTGTTATAAAAAAAAACGTGTTGTTAAATTTTAATCCCAGACTTGTTAGTTTATAATCAGAACTTGTTATTTCCAAATGTATTGTTGTTATCACCTGAAACAGAGTGTGTTGTTATAAAAAAAATGTGTTGTTAAATTTTAATCCCAGATTTGTTATTTTATAATCAGAACTTGTTATTTTCTAATGTATTGTTGTTATCACCCGTAACAGAGTGTGTTGTTATAAAAAAAAACGTGTTGTTAAATTTTAATCCCAGACTTGTTGTTTTATAATCAGAACTTGTTATTTTCAAATGTATTCTTGTTATCACCTGGAACAAGAGTAAATGAGTTAACTTATATTTTTTTTTGTATTATAATGTTAGCAAAAATTTGTTGGCTCAATGGTCATTCCTAATTTTGGGAAGCATGAGGTTGGGGGATCAAATCTCCCCAACCTCACTTCCCCCCAATTTAAAAAAAAAAAACAGTTTCAAAAAAAAAAAAGGAAGGCCGCCGGCATCGGAGCTCCGGTGGCCGGCGGCTGGATTCCGGCCAGGCAGTGGTATTCTTTTTTGGAAAAAAAATTAAAGAGGGGTATTTTGGTAATTTGACCATGATTTCATAATTGCAAATTGAGACTGGATTCTTGTGAGCAATTTCTCAAATTCAGGGTCCCTGATTGCTATTTTATATATTGAGGGGTCTTTATTTACAATTTTCTCATAATTAATTAATATAACTAATTTTTTTAATTTTTATGTTAAGAAAATTAAAAAAAAAACTTTTTGGTGAGGAAAATGGAAATCTTCGGGTGACGTCGGGGAGCCCTTGCAAGCGTCTCAGCAATTCTGAAATTCTGGGGTTTTGTAAACACGAAACAATAAAATGGAGTCGCCGGGAGGTGAATCAAAGCATGAATTTTGTGTCACTCCCAATCTAATAGAAGCAAGAATCAATCAATTGCAGAGTAAATCATACTGAATCAGTCAGTCATTTAAGAAAAAGAAAATCCGCCAGCTAATAGCCACTGCCCAATGCGGCCTACTGATCAACTGCTCAGCTGATCCAAGTTAACCTAGATATGGACACCCACTCGTCTCACGCGGCCGGGAACATTCGCTCCCGTAGCTCCCAATCCCCCTCTCCCTCTCACTCTGCTTCTGCCTCTGCCACCTCTACCATCCACAAGCGCAAAATGGCGTCGGATGATCACGCTCCTCCCTTTCCCCCCTCTTCCTTTTCCGCCGACACCCGCGACGGTGCTTTAACGTCCAATGATGACCTCGAGAGCATTTCTGCTCGCGGCGCTGATTCCGACTCCGACGATGAGTCGGAGGATGCCGTTGTTGACGACGACGAGGAGGATTACGACAATGAATCCTCCATGCGCACCTTCACTGCCGCTAGGCTTGAAAACCCCCCCTCAGCTCCGCGGAACACCAAGCTCCAAAAGGATAATACGACGGTCAAGATAGAGAATTCGGATAGCGCTAAAGACGCTGCCGCAGCCGGGACTGCTTCGGTGGGAACCATTCCCACCTCGACCTCAGTTCCGGGCATTATGGTTAAGGAGGACGCAACAAAGATTTTTACTGATAATTTGCAGACGAGTGGGGCATACTGTGCCAGGGAAGAGAATCTCAGGAGAGAGGTAGAGCACTCCTTCGCCCGTGAATGGGAGCAAAATTTCCAGTGCGATTGAGGAGGGCTTTAAGTTCGCATCATAAGTCAATATCATGTGCATTCTCATATCAGCACTAGCCATTTGTCCCTGTTTCTGGATTAAATTTTTAATTTCTTGTCGCTCAATTAATCTGTAGCAAGTATTTTGTTGCATACTTGCATGTTTGACGAGAGGTCTTTTGATTCTGCCATGTATGTTTGCTTCGCATCTTTCCTTTCTGTTTTGCCTTTTTCTCGTTGTCTAAACTATTCAACGCTCCTTTTCATGGAAATCAAGATTCCTAGTTATGACGATTTGGTACCTTGGAGTCTTTCAGGAAGAAGCAGGGAAGCTGAAATTCGTATGCCTTTCAAATGATGGTGTTGATGAGCACATGGTTTGGTATTTATTCATCTTTTCTAAGAACATTCAAGTACCAGCTGGCTGGAGGAGATTTAGCTTATTTTCTAATTCTCTGTGAACATTGATATTAATGATATTCATTCTTACTACTGCTTTTGATTGGTTAGGTTGATAGGATTAAAGAATATTTTTGCTAGACAACTTCCCAACATGCCCAAGGAATACATTGTCCGACTTGTTATGGATAGGTAATGCCAGTAGTCTTTTAAATTTTAAGTACTAAAACATATCCATAGGCATTTTTAAATGGACAAGTTCTGAAATTGATTTGAGATTGTGTTTTGATGCTTGTAATTGTAAATGCTTGCACTTGCTCGTTGGATTTGCAGGAGCCACAAGTCTGTGATGGTTATAAGACGTAATCATGTTGTTGGAGGAATTACATATCGCCCATATGTAAGGTAATGATTCACGTCCATATCTTCATATTCTTCATGTTACTGCTGTATTACCTCATTTTGTTATCGGTTCGTGTAAAGAGAAAATGAGAGGTTGTCACACTTTTCTTTATTACTGTTAAGATGTCAATAGAGTTAGCATTAATTTGTTTTTTCCCCCCTCTTTATTTGCTACCCCCCCTCCCACTATAGTGTAGTCTTTTTTTGGGAGGGGGACCCATAACTTAGCCTCACTTGAAACAAAAAAACTATCATTGTATTTACTGATACTCTTGTGGTTTATGATTCATAGCCAAAAGTTCGGTGAAATAGCCTTTTGTGCAATAACAGCTGATGAGCAAGTAAAAGGTTATGGCACCAGACTGATGAATCACTTGAAACAGTATGCTCGTGATGAGGATGGATTGACACACTTTCTCACATATGCTGATAATAATGCTGTTGGCTATTTTATCAAGCAGGTCTAGTTATCAATATATGACATCCTTGTCTGGCGGTATCCTTTTTTTTTTTTTTTTTAAATAAGCTAATCATGAGATATATTAGTTGCTTTTGGATAGCATATTTACTGATTTGTTCTCTTTTGATCAACTAAGGATGAAAGAGGAATATCTGGACATCGTTAGTTGGTATAAGAATTATTAATAACGGACAATCCCCTGGTTTAAACCCCAACCTTCCATCCTTTATTAGAATTTGTACCATTAGGGCCCTAAGCCATTGCAAATGGAGACCCAAATACAGAGAAAAAAATCATTGTGATATTGGAATCCATTCCTATCCAATTGACCTAATTTTTAGTATTTCCGAGAGGAATTTTTTAGAGGAAAAGTGAGGGGGCGCATGGGGTGGGCTTGTTTTAAATATCCCTTCTGTTCAACTAATGGATACAATTTTAGATTTGGCATTGATTTTGGTTTATTTTCCTTCAGGGCTTCACAAAAGAGATTCACTTGGAGAAAGATAGATGGCAAGGGTAATTTTATCTTCATTCTTGTCTGAAACATGGCAGCGGTTCTTCCCATGGCTGTATCTAACGTGAAGTGAAAGAATGTTTTCTTTTTAATTTTATTTGTCACTTCAGTATCATAATTGGTTGGGGTGTAGAGTTACCCGAATTGCAAGTGCTTAATTTTTTTTATTTTTTAACCAAAAAAAGTGATTTCATCTTTCACTATTTGTTTGTTATATACCATCTGGGGGATCATCAAAATTAATCGTCATTTCAGGTATATCAAGGATTATGACGGAGGAATTCTCATGGAATGCAAGATCGATCCAAAGCTCCCATACACTGATTTATCAACTATGATTCGTCGTCAGAGGCAGGTAACATAGTATCCATTTGGCAATTTGTTAGATTTACTTTCATAATGATTTAGATGAATTAGTTTACATGAGAGGTCATCATGTTTCTTTCATTAAAATTTTAACATATACCTGTAAGTATAAAACGGAATTTTTACACTCTAAACTCATTTCATCTTAGTCTGAACTTTTCTTTCCCATATAATATACCTCTATTAATTTTCAATGGCCTCCTCTTAAACGCACGCAAACACATGGAAAAATGGTGAGGAAGGAGTTGCCAAGCATATTAAATCTTAAGAAAGTTGGACAAAAAGAGGCCTCATCAAGGTAGATGTGCATCCACTCCCTGAAGGCATTTGGATGCAAATCCCTGATCCATCCGTGATGAGCATAAAATAAAGTTTGATGATGGGCTGTTGGATTGTTATGCCTTTAACTGGGCCAAAATGATTTTGCTCCCTGGAGGCATTTAAGAGTCCACACTTTGACATCATTTAATTGGTCAATTAGCATGTGAGTGTAACTGTGACCAAAGAATTAAGTAATGAAGTGTGATCACATGCATATTTGAGTATATTCTGATGTACGGTGTAGTGCAGAATTAAGATGCAGTTAGATGGAGTCCCATAAAAAGGGATAGAGAAAGATCGAGAAGAACGTTCAATGACGTCATTGAACAAGACCTCCTAAGGACTTGATTGTTGATAGAATACTCGTGTGAACCATGTAGCTGACCCACTTAGTGGGATAAGGCTTGTTGTTGTTGATGTTGTTGAATCTAATTTAGGAGGGCTGTGTGCATTATTCTTGTTTCTATATAAATTGGAGCATTGGAGCATCTGGTGACATTATTAATTATCTTCTTTACTAACTGTTATTCTGTAGATTTTTCAGATTTTTTTTCCTTGAGAATAATCATTATTGGTTTTACAATATAGGCTATAGACGAAAAGATAAGAGAGCTGTCAAACTGTCACATTGTTTATCCTGGATTTGATTTTCAGAAGGTATCCAACATTATCTAATCTTTTCTTCCTTTTTATTTATTTATTTTTTAAATAATTGCATTCATTCATGACTTGCTTAAAAGTCCGCCACTTTCCTTGGTTGTGACATATGTGAGCAAACTACCTGGCATGTCAGCCTAAGTTGCAAGCCCCCCCCTTTTTTCTATTGTTCACATACTATCATTAATTGAGAAACATATGACTTGTGGAATACATCATGCAGAAAGAAGCTGGTATTCCTAAAAAATCAATCAAAGTTGAGGACATTCCTGGTTTGAGTAAGTACCAAATTCCCAATCCCAGTTTATCTTGCCAATGTTCTTTAGTTGGGGTGCTTCTGGGTTAAATTATGCTTTCCCAGTCCCTGCTTTGAAACGTATGGGCTTAATTAAAATTTTATTTTTTGTAAGTACTGGTCATTGTTCAGTTGTTAATAGATTTTACACATGAAGTTCTGTGTTTCCTGTGATTCGTGACATACGAAACTGGGATCTGTTTATAAACTATGTCAAGAACTGATCTGCAATCTCAATTTCTTATTCGGGCGACCCCATGCATGGTGCTTAGTTTCTTACTAACATACTTGGCGTCAAGGGGATTTCATCTTATTTTGCTTTTATCAAATCCTGGTCATTTTACCGATTTATAGATACGTATAAACGTTGGCTTTTCCCGTGGATGCGAGCAAAAAAGCGTTATGTTTAGGAATTCAGATATTGTTTAAAAACTGATCAGACGTCCGTGGTTCATGCAATTGCAGGAGAGGCTGGATGGACTCCTGATCAGTGGGGTCATTCCCGATTTAGAAGTTTAAGTGTTTCTACAGACAGCGCTGCGAATCAGAAACATTTGACTGCATTTATGCGATCACTTCTGAAGGCAAGTTTCTTGAATGCTTTATTACCTTGAATTTAAATTTTCTATTGTTTACCTTCTTCTTCTTCTTCTTCTTTTTTTTCTTGGTGATAACTTGTTTACCTTCATTCGCATCTTGAGTACATCAGTTTTCCTTTTCCCTTTCGGTTCTTTCCTTTTTCAGTCATTGCTGTTATCTTGTATACAGTCAATGCACGATCATGCTGATGCCTGGCCATTCAGGGAACCCGTTGATGCCCGGGATGTTCCTGATTATTATGACATCATCAAAGATCCAATGGGTGAGAACTACCATATCCATATTATTTTTGTTTACTTTTACCTTGCGTTTCTACTTTCTGTAAGCATGGCAACTGCTTCAACTTCAATCTGTGAATTCTCTCCTGTGGTTTTTTCTGGGGATATTTCAAGCTTTTAGTTGAAACTTTTTATATGGTTTCTCATATGGTTCGTAATATGGGGCTTTCCTAATCTTTGTTGCTGATTGTTTGTGTTGGATATGACCTAGAATGTTAATAATCGTCATAAAGGGTCTCATCTTTTGTATGCATTTAATGTGGGTGCAGATCTGAAGACAATGTCTAAGAGGGTGGAGTCTGAGCAATATTATGTTACATTTGAGATGTTCGTTGCAGATGTCAGAAGAATGTTCGCCAATGCACGGACCTATAACTCCCCAGACACGATTTATTACAAATGCGCTACCAGGCACGATGCTCCAAGTCGACTGTTTTTCCTTTCCTTCCCCTTTCCTGTCCAGTTTGATATGTAGATTAATGAATAAATAAGAAGAAATAATTATTGTTAAATAATTAATAATGGTGGCATAAATATTGTAGGCATCGTGGGTTATTGTGGAATGGGTTTGACTGAAGTCAACTTTGGTGTTTCTCACTTTTCATGTATATATATTTCAGGCTGGAAACCCATTTTCAGAGCAAGGTTCAATCAGGTCTACAGGCTGGCACCAAAACTCAGTAGCAGCCTCTGAATTCATTAGGGGTTCCTCTAGCCTTCAGCGGCTAAAGAAAGCTGAATCCCCTCCAATATTTCCTTGTATGTTGTAAAAACTTGTTCTTTAGTTGGCCAAAAAAAAATTGTTCTTTAATTTAATTTTTTGTCAAATGGGTTACCTTTTTTGTACAGTTGAGATTGATTTTATTTTAATATAATAGTAAAAACAATTAAGTTGATATAAAGTTCTAACAAATGTATGTGCAAATCTAGTTGTGTTGAAAGAGAAATACAATTAACTGCGGACACTTTTAAACAAATGTTGATTCAATTAATAAGGATTTCACTCATAATGCTCAAATTTTACTACATAAATATTTTTAAATATGTTCTTTAAATTTGGAGGTATGTTGGTGAGTTCTTGAACTCAATTCACTTAAATTTAACTAGATTTTAAAAAAATCTAATCCAATGTCATATTAAGGGAGAAAAAAAGTGATGAATTAGTGTTGAAATGAAACTCTAATCACCCCTCACAAGTGAAGGTTTGCGCTTCCGTCTTAAGATGCTCTTTAGACAGCATATGAAGGCCTTTTTTAAAATTAAAAAAGAGAGGAGTTTTACAGCTTTTGGGTGAAAAATAATCTATATTGTTGCTATCACTTTTGTTCTTTACTTCAGCGGCAAAATATTATCAAATATTACGCTATTTAAGAATCAATAATAAAATAATGTAATGATATTATCAATGTATATAACACCAAAATATCGCCTTAAATAAATGATAGAAATACGGAGAAAAAGAGCGGCATCTTCTGCAACTGTCGTTCGTTTTTGCCCTCGACGGGAATTTAATTAGAGGTCAGGGCTTGAAATTTTTGGAGTTTTCCTTCAGTTCTCGGCTTCTCGCTGCTAGGTGCATTCGCGAGTCGTTACCGGTTACCGCTTCTTCCCGAAGACTACCGAAAACGCACGGAACGTTGTTGAGCTCCCCGTTCCTTGTCCCTCCAATCATCATTCACCTGCACCCCTTAGATCCGTCGAAAATTAACCCTCAACATTATTACTCATCTCAAAACTCGAATGCAATCATACTGACAAATCCAATCGGATCATTCTGATTGCGTTCCACTCGTTCCTGCAACTCTGAACCCAAATATTTGGTGAGTTTTAGTTATCTGTGATTTAATGATCAGAACTTATCGGTAATGAAGAATTAATGTCGTAGATATTTTTATGTTCTTTGCTTGGTGTAGCGTAATCGGTTAAGCGTTTAGTCAGCTGAGGCTTCAGCATTGTTTTCAATTGACTCGGAGTCTGTTTCTTTCCTATCTAGTGTTTCTCTCACGATGTTTATGCACTTCACCCATCATAATTCGTAAGACTTGGCTGTCGTTTGGGCGTTAAATTGGAATCAGATGTCCTTTAATTATTGATTTCACCTATCAATTTTTCCCGGATTTATCTGGTGATCCTAGGTATATGAATGCATGCTAGGATTGCTGTAGGCTGTACAGCTTCTTTCAAGTAGCTGTCTATTCTGTTGGCATCTGCTTCCAGACAGCCTCCTTGTTTCCTTCATCACATTTTGGTTAAGTGATCATTCTTTGGAATAGTGAAAATCACCTCGAGCTTGTCTAAATTATTGGTGCTAATTCTAGGAGATATGGTTTAAAACGATGTCTCTTGGTTTTGTCCATATCACCGTAGGGCTACCGAGACCTTAAATAAACACTAATAAGATCTAATATCCGGTTTTGTCCTTGGGCTGCCTCCCCTGTGTTCCTTGTTTGCTAGTTGCACACGACTTCGTTCTTTATATGCCAATGCTTCTCTCATCTTTTTTGCGCCTTTTTATTTGAAGTCACATCAAATGGCCAACAGAGTTCAAATCCCCTCAAGAAATTCAGCACTCATCGCCATGATTGCAGATGAGGTGAGAATGCCATGCTTTTATAATGCTTTTCGTGCATGCCTTTTTTTTTTTTTTTGGGCGAGATTGTCTTGTAGATTATAAACGCGTGTTAGTGGGACAGCGTAGACACTTTTCCAGCAAGTTTACCTCTACACGTATTTGCGACTTATGAAGCTTCAGCCTTAAGCTTTAAAGAGTATGGTTATTTTCGTCCTTAAAACTATGGTTTTCAAGGAAGCGGCGTTTTCTTCCCATATCTGATGGGAGATGGAAGTGAGTTTTCCAGTAGAATTGTTACGGTCTGCCAAGCACACCAAGATGGATTTTCTCTTTCCTTTTCCCTTTCCTAACTCTGTTCTTTTATACTAAACATGCCTTAGGATTTTTGAGATTTTATTTGTTGTTGGTATGCAAATCAAATTGCACCACCCAAGACTAGTCAATAAATTAATAATGCGGGCACCTTAGTGTCTTAAGCTCCTCACCGCGTTATAACTTTCCTGAGCCATTGTAGTGTTCTGCTTGTAATTATTTAACTGAATTTCACACAGGACACAGTAGTTGGATTTCTGCTGGCTGGAGTGGGCAATGTTGACTTGCGTAGGAAGACAAATTACCTCATTGTCGACTCAAGTATGCCATTAAACTTCGATTATTATATCTTATAACATGATTAGTAATTTCTAAATAACGTTTACAGTTTATAGTGGCTACATGTTATCTACTCATCTTAAATGTTGTTTAGATAGTTATATGTCTACTACATGTATTTTGTAACTGCTTTTAAGATATGTTGAGGGCATCAGCTGTGAAATTCCTACGATTAAACCCTGGAGAAGTTCCCAGTACAAAGCCATTTTACCCTTTGCTTCCAATTCAATAACAAAAGTCTATTTGATAACATCAATATTTTGATATGTAAAGCACGTGGCAACTTAGTGTGTGTGCACGGGGGAGGGCGGGCAGATGTGGGTGCATGGGTGGGTGGGTGTGGAAAGAGGAACAACTGTTATTCAAGAAGTGTCCCATTAATGTAGTGTTGGCACTATAGTATTTTATGATCTATCTCTGCTTGTTTTCAGAAACGACTGTCAAGCAAATTGAAGATGCTTTCAAAGAGTTCACAGCAAGGGAAGACATTGCAATTGTGCTGATAAGCCAATATGTAAGTTATATTTGCATCTTCAGACTAATTCATAATTCGCAAGTGGGTAAGGCTGTTGTCCGTAGACATGCAAATCTAGTCAAAACCAGCAATAGCCACTTGTGGAAGTGAACATGACCCGCATGTTTCTGAAGATCCTCGCTGTATAATAGCTTATCCTGCACAATGATTGGATTTACTTATATGGAAACCCTACCAAAACCTTACATGATATTAGATACTGCGAAGTCTTATTTAATTGGGTCACCTAGACTTTTAATATTTCTCCTGTGCCAGGTCTAGATGCATTCTTGCTCATCAACTTTTGGGGTTTTTACTGGATGGCTCTTTTTAATACAAATTCCCTATATAAGCAGCTCCTTTTATGAACTTGTTTGGTATTTTTACACACACGCACATCATTTGTGGGATCATCTGTTGTTTTGGCTTGTTTTCCTAGAGGATCTATTCCTATCTCAAACCGCTGTCCACTGCCTTCAAAGATGAATAATGATTAATTAGCCAGTGGAAACACCCCCCAAAAAAAAAAAAAAAAACCTTGGAACTGATTTATGATCCTCTGGCTTTCCTTCATAAACTCTAAACTGTGCATGTTTAATTGAAGACCTAATCCTATATCCTTCATTATCCAGGTTGCAAATATGATAAGATTTTTAGTTGATAGCTACAACAAGCCTGTTCCTGCTATACTGGAGATTCCTTCCAAAGACCATCCTTATGATCCTGCGCATGATTCTGTCCTTTCGCGAGTGAAATATCTCTTTTCTGCTGAATCTGTGGCATCTGGCAGACGTTGAACTCGAAGCTTGTTTCATTTCACATTCCCCCTCCCCCTTCCAACGCCCCCGGAAAAAACCTTAAAAAATTCTCTCCTGTTGAATTGTAACTTGGATAATTTAGCTTTCGTGGGGTTGTTTTCTTTCCTTTTGAATAAATTAGCATGGTGCCTTTGTATTGCATGGAGTCTGAAGAAATAAGATGCATGGTTTATGGTTCATAACTAGTGATTTGTTAAAATTTTTATATTACATAGAGATTATATTAAACAAAATAGATGTTGCTTTTTCTCCGCCTCAAATTGTCAATTTTTCACTTGAGGTTTGGTACACAATGAAGATAAGGATATATCTATATATATATATATATATAAATATATTTTTGTCATCGAATATAAGGATAATTTGATAAGCGAATGCGCGTTTAGTTTAATGAAAAATAGTGATAGCTTAAAAAATGAAGGCAGAAAAAGTGATTACAATGCTCTAAAATATAAAAAATAATGACACAATGTTTTTTAGGTAAATATGATTTTTAAAGGTAAGTTCAGCCCGAGCATAAGTAGCCGTCAGGTTTAGGCTCTTTGCAGGAAATTACGCAGTAGGGATAAAGTTTTTAAAAAGAAATGAGTGGACTCTCATGAATTATAAATCGTAGAAGGTTCATGAATCTTAAATGTTCACTAATAAATGTTGGAAGCTTAATGATAAATGATGGAAAATTATTTATAAAGTCCCTCATAAATTGTGAAAGTTTTATAAACTTTAAATACTTAATTATAATAATAGAAAGAGTTAATTATAAAAGTCAAAAGATCAATTCGCTGAATTCTTTGAAATGTTTGAATTGTATTCATAATTTACAACTTATCCACAGCTAGTCTTCTATTATTTACCGCTAAAATTTAACGATGTATAATTAATCTTTTAAAATTTATATAATTTTCGCAATTTATAATCTATTTGCAATTAACTTTCGATTTTCAACCAAATTATGTATTGAGTTATGCATCGAGGATATTTTCATTCATTCATTTTGGATAATTTTGAAAATTTATGATATTTTAAAATAATTAATTTTCATAACTTCGCTAACAAAAAACATAAATCCATAAGGAAAAAAGGTCATAAACAAAAAAAAAAAAGCAAATAAAAACTCTCTAACGCGTGAAATTATGATTTGGGATCTTTAATTTGAAAAATGACAAATAAAGACCCGATCCTATATTGTAAATATGAAATTTTGATGAAACGTTTGAAATGTTCTTCAGCTAAATTATGATTTGGTTTACTGAACTTGTCATTTTTCATAGTTAACTTGTCATTTGGTATACCCTCAACTAAATTGTGATTTGCTCTATTGAAATTGTCATTCGCTAAAGTAAACATATCATTTCCCA